GGGGGGGGGGGGGGGGGGGGGGGGGGTGATGGCTACCGTACATGACAACCAAACACGGACACACACCTGACGCTCAGGGTGCCACGCCTCTCCCGCGCGGTAGTTCTGGGGCGTCACGTCGAACGGGACGTCTTTCTCCTCAGCGGGGTTCCGTGAATCACTGACCGGTTCTTCCGCGTCCTTGTTCACCACCTTGAACACCATGTCTTGGTCATCCTGCAAGATCCACCGCAGAGGCGTACAGGCGTTGCCGGCGGTATTCCGTTGTTGAAAAAAGACGAGCAGACTAGGCGGTCCAAGCACACACGACATCAGCACCAAGGGTGAGCAGGGCGGCACCGCAAACAGAGGAGTGGACCGGAAGGCTTGTAGGTCGTACAAAAAAACAGGTCAACATGGCGGGTTCAGGAGGAGCGGTGCTAATGCAGCGATCCCGCCCTTTCGCGAATACGGAGGAACGAGGCAAATACCACACAAACCACGCACAACACACAGCAGCAAGAAGTTTAGCCACGAAGGAAAAAGATGACAGCCCTGTCCTCTCCCCGGACGATGAACCCATCCGGGGTTAGACAGCTTGAAGCCAGATACACAGCGTGGGAGGGCTTCCCATGCTTGACATGGTGTGCCTTCAGAACATGTTAATCGGCCTTCTTGAAAATCTGTCCTTCCATCCTTTGACCACGTGCGGTTGAACAGTTGAACAAGCGACCCGGCCAAAAACAATGCTTCATGAGAACAATGCGAGAAGGGGTTCAACGGCGTAATCGCCTGGCAGCTTGCTACCAGGAGCTCGCTCACTGTGCGGGTGTGTTCCGTCCCATCTATTCTGGCGCCGGTATACACGCCTTTAGCCGTACAAACATACCTGAGGTACCAGCCGGGTTCACAGGAGAGGAAGGTCACACAGCAGTAGCTTTTTTTACCTTTTTTGCTTTCGTCTTCTTGCCCCACCTTTACCCTTACCCCTGGGGCGCTAGCCTTGGTTTCACTTCTTATCGCGAGACTATTGGAATGTCAAAGGGTTTGTTGTTTGGTGCACTGCTGTACAGAAGTTCCGCCAGAAAAAAAAAAAACACGCCCGAGTGAGGCATGCTTCGCCTCGTTGCTGCTCGAGTACCAATTATGCAAGACAAGGAGGAAGAAAAACTGCAGAGTAAGTGGACAGGTGATCATGTCGACTTGTCAACCCTCCGGCATCACTCCATACCTAGTGACGGACTTGAATCCCGAAAGCACAAATACTTCGTTCGTTGGTGAGATGGGACTACTTGTACAACGGTGCAAAGTGCTTCTACTATTCAGAAGATACCATGTACTCAACAGATCCTACACCATCGTATAGTGCGACAACCAGCCGCTCGCACGTCTCGAGGAGAAAACGTCAGCAAGAGAAACCCTGCATACAGCAGTACGATGCGCCTGCATAGCCGATGCTACCAAGAAGAACTACACGCGAAGGCGGGACAGGAGAAAAAAGAACTTCCAGGGGCTCGGAGACAATAGAAACCGTTAGGACATGAAATCGCTGTAAAAATACCCTGGGCTTGTATATATCTGTGGACGTAGACATGAACCAGTTCTGTTGTCAACGAAAGAAATAGGAAGAAGGACAACGTGGTTGTATCTACAACTCTCTGCATCTCAAGCCTCCTCAGAGACTGCTGTCGTTGCCTGTTGTTAAATCATCGCTTGCCGGCGACCGCGGAGACATTGATCCGGACCGCCTGCGCGAGGAATTGGGTTAGTTGAGGGAACAGAAAAGGGAAGGGGGTGCGCAGACCCTATTCCTAACCCTAACCCTATGTAACCCAACTTCCCCGATTTCATGCTTTATCCAACATGTTTTCTTGAAACGGAAAATCCTGCTAAGGCAACTTGTTGATCCTCTCTGGTCTCGCACAAAGGCTGGTGCGCATCGTCATGGGTTCCTCCGTCGATGTATGGCCTCCCGGGGGGGGGGG